AGAGCCCAGGGTCCCAATCCGGGGTGCTGAGCACCAGGGAGTCCTTGTGTGCAATGGGATTCTTGTCTCCTGAGGGAGCTGGGACAGATGAGGAGCTCTGGTCCTCTCCGAAGCACCTTTTTCCAGGGAATCTGATGGTTCTGAGGGGATACAGCCTAGAGAAAGGTATTTAATACAGTTATGGTGGTGGCCATCCTGGCTAGGCCACTGCCTTTGGCCAAGCTGTCCTGGAGCAAAGATTAGGCAATGTTTGTCCCTTCTCTGTCATCCATCCTCTCTGATATGGGAAATTATGGTAAGGAGTCATTATTATCTGTATTATTATTAAGTTACTATTATATGCCATCCTCTTGGCCTCTGCCTCTCCTTCCTGCTGCCTGCTGGGCCTCTGGATTTGTCCCCCTGTGCCTGTTGGGTCCCCCTTGCTAAGAAAGCACCTGGAGCCCGGAGCAGTTCCAGCACTGGGGATGGGGACACCTGGGAGGCCTGGGGGCCCCTGGAGAGAGCACAGCTGGGCTGGGATGGAGGAGGCATCCGCGGCAGCCCCTAATTTCCTTGTGATGGTCCCTGGGGAGGTGCTGCCATTGGGATAGAGACTTGGAACCCAGCAGCTCTGCCAGCTCCCCTGAGCGGGGACATTCCTTGGGGAAGGGCCCATTAGCAGCTCCTCAGGGCTTGGAGCTGAGACCCCAGGAGCTTGCAGAGCAGTTGGGCGCAGGGGTGAAGGGAGATGGGAGGACACAGGTCTCGTGTGCCATCCTGGAGGGCTGAGTGGCACCGGTGACAGCACTGACCCTTGTGTAGGAGATGTCTTTGCCCTGCCTGCATCCTTGTCTCTCCAGCGTCCTCCTTGCTGTGACACATGACACGGTCCTGGGTGCTCTCAGCTACCACCTTCCCCAAACAGAGCCGACTGCCTAGTGATGGAACAGTCTGCATGGAAGGAGTAGGCAGGACAGAAGTCCGCACAGGGATTTCTCTGCATGCCTTTTCCCTTTCAGATATGGTTTAGGGGTGCTGGGATGCGTTTGGATTGTTATGGGGTGTGGGAGCAGGTGTCACTGCATGGGGGAAAAGGGACATGGGGAGTGTTGAGAGCTGCTCTCACTGCTGGTGGAAAGGAGCCGTCCCAATCTGTGTGTGTACATGCAAGTGCTCTTAAGGGAACATGTATGTATGTATGTGTGCATGCATGTCCCATGTGGGGGCATGCGTGAGCATGCAAGCATGTGAGCACGTGCAAATAGTGTGTGTGCCATGCATGCGTATACACGCGAGCGCGTGCAAATAGTGTGTGCACGCTTGTGTGTGTGCCATGCATGCGTATACACGTGTGCAATTGTTCATACATGCATAGATTTGTGCATGGGGTAAAATATTTCAGAACAAGGTGCTCTTCCCCACAAACCCCCATCCTGGCACACGCGTGTGCAGGCAGTGCAGCCCTTTGGGGCACGTGGGGTCAAGGGGGGCTCTGGGTGAGGAAGGGGCTGCTGGAGCCTGGGCTGGCAGTGGGCTCTGAGCAGCAAGGCCACAAGCGCGGAGCCCGTCCGGCCGCGCTCCCGCTGCTGCCGTGAGCTGCAAGCACCACCTTGCGGCTGCGGGACCGGCCGGGCAGCCCTGCTGCTCTGGGGCAGGGACTGGGCAAAGCTGGCGCTTGTTTTCATCCTAATCATGGCACCAAAGGGGGCTTTTTGCCTTGGTAGTGCATATAGCAGGGGGCAGAGATGAGCAGTGGCTTTAAGATCTAGCAAGAGAATACATCTCCCTACAGGATTGATATTTATTTAGCATAGGAGTGCTGCTTTCCATCAGAAGTCCCTCAGTTCTCTCCGCTCTTCTGCTGTGGCTGGGGAATGCAATGCTGGGTGGCAATGAGAGGCGCTGGGACCGTTGCCTCCCTCCCTCCGCTGTGTCCTGGCCACGGCCACCACTGCTGTCCTGGCCAGCTCCCTCCGGTGCCTCACACGCACCAGGTCCTGCTGCGTGGTCATCTGCATCCCACGGCATGACCGGTCCTGCTGGGGCCACGGCCATGGTGCCCCATGTCCCCAAGCAGTGGGACACCGTGTGGCTGCAGCCACCCCACTTCCTCCCAGCCTCAGGGCGAGATCACGTAGGCAGTGGCGATGTAATTCCTGCCGTTTCCATACGTGGACTTGGTCCAGGTGTAGGTCTGGATGCTCAGGCGGTGGCCACCCAGGCTCAGGTGGCATCTGTGGGGACACAGCGCATGCTGCAGTCTTCTCCATCTCCTCAACCCTAGTTGCATCCTCCAACTTGCTGGCCTGCTCTCAGCTTCCCTGGTCCTCCCCATATGCAATCCCCATGTCAAGCCATTGCACTGTGCCCAAAGAGGCTGTGCTGAGTTCAGCATACAGAGACCAGGAGCAAAGTCCTAGTCCCTGGGCTCCTCCAGACACGCTGTGGGATCCTTGGATGGGGAATTGGCCAAGGGACACGCAGGGATGGACCAGAAGGGTTTGGTACTTACGCCCTTCCAGGCCGAGCGATGAAGCACAGAGAATAGAGGCCAAACTCAAACTCCGGGCTGGAGCCGATGAACGCGGAGCCCACCTCCTTGTAAAAGCCATCCCAGTTGAACTGCATCCCCAGCACATCGGGATAGGTGTTCCACTAGAGAATGGGAGAAAGAGGAATCAGGATCAGCTCCTTGGTCTGCTTGGCTCGGGCTGGGTCAGAGCAGAGAAGTCAAGCAAAGCTCATCTGAAGTACAGCATCCTAATATCTTCTCCAAGGACATCCAGCCTCAGGTAAATAGGTCGGTAACACATTTAGCTGGTCTGATGGGTTGTCAGACAGCGCTGGGACTCAGTGACAATCAGCTCTGCCTGGACCAGCTGAGCTGGTTGGTGTCTTACACAGCGCCGCTGGCTGGGTAGCCCAGTGGGGGCACTTACCGGCCCATTATAGCTGTAGCTGAAGTAGTCAACGAGGCCCTGCTTTTCGAGAAGGTAGAAGCGAATCCAGTTGTGAAATCCAGACACTTTCCCTTTTTTCACTTCCCCTGAAGACAAATGAGACCATGAGAGGAGCCTGGGGCTCTCCATCCCCATGTGCTGATGTGAAAGAGACCCTGGATACCTCCCTCCACCCTTCCCAAACCCGGGTATGCTCAGAAGGGGCTGCCACATCCCCCCAGACCCAGTGCTTGTGCTCAGTCTGGTCCCTGCTGATCAACAGCTCTCCAGTCCACCCAAGCACAGAGCAAGGCACCCAGTTGGGGTCTGTCCATCCCCGGGAGATGCATCTCCACAGCCTGGAGCTGCCATGTTCTTCCCGTCCCATCGGGAGGCACTCGGCCTTGGGCTCTACCTGAGAAGACGTGCTCAAAGCCGCTGGAGTCCTGCTCGCCGTTGCCTCTGGAGTAGAGGCCGAACCACATCTCCTTCAAATCAGCAACGAACTCCTGCTCAGAGTCGTAGCGGTCTGGAGAAAAAGCAGGGTGAAGAGCCACGAGGCAAGGAGAGGGGAGCTGGGTCGTTGCTCCAAATGGGAGCTCTTGGGGAGGCGAAGGCTCTACCCGCTAGCCCTTATCCCAGCCAGGTCCTCTCCTGTGGACTCAATTCCGTGCTGCCCTGTTCAATCAGCCACGTCTGTGGGCAGCCCTGGAAAACCGGCCGCTGTGCCCTGCATCCTCCCATGTCGTGTCCCAGCTCCAGGGACACGTTTTGGGGACTTATGTGACTTCCCTGCAGAGAGCATCTCTGGGGTTGTGAGGTGAGGAGTCTCCTAAGCACTGCAGGGAGAGCAATCCTCACCAGGGGATATTGGCCTGCTGCAGAGCTGGGGCAGAGCAGTGGCTACTCAGGGATGCTGGTGACTAGCCAACCCCTTGTCCTACTGATGGTCCACTCCTTCCAGCTTGCTCCGCACTCACTTTTTTTGTGGAGGAAAGTGAAGAGCTTCTTCATGAGCTCAGTTTTCATCACCTCCTTGAGGAAGTTGTCCTGCTCCTTCAGCTCTTCTGCTGTGACATCCTCCTCCCTGCCCGTTGCCCTCTGGTAATTGTCCAGCAGTTTAATGAAGCTAGCATAGGTCGGCTTGGAGAAGAGCTTCTCATTGACATATTGGTAGAGCCTGGGAGAGAGGGCACCCTGTAGCCAGTGGAGGAGGGAAGGTTCCTTTTGGAAACCAACCCTGGCACCTGAGTGGCTGCAGTGGTCTCTGCCATCCTGCCTCCTTGCTCAGAAGCACCTTGCAAGGATGCCTGTGCCAACGCTAATGCCCATCACACTCACGGCTCGGGGGAATGGTCTTCCTGGTCTCCTGTCTGGTCTGGCGAAACCTGGTGCTGCGGGTTAAGGATGATGTCCGTTGGCTGGGCTTTGTTGTGATCCGCCTTGTAAAGCTGCTCCGAGATGTGCAGGAGGTCCTCATCCGTGATGGCATCGTGGCTGCTGGAGAAACCTTCTGTGGGGAGAGGCAGAGGGACGGTGTGAGCGGGCAGGAGGGCTGAGCCCCTTCCAGCCAAGGGGAAATGAGGGATGAATGAGGGAGAAATGAAGTCGCAGCCACTCTGAAGGACCTCAGCAAGGTGCCAGTGAGGCAGAGTGTCAGGACATGAGACCCGAGCACTCAAGTTGACACACAGGAGGCTTAAGGGATGCAGGGACTGGTGGCAACCTGAGACCAGAGGGCTGGGGACTACAGCAGGCACCACCCAACCTCCCAGCAGAGCCTGGGGTTGGGTTTGGCCATGGCATTTTGGCTGTGAGGACCAGGAGCTGAGCCAGGACACGTGCAGTCCTGATGGATTTCCAAGCCCTCCTGGAGCTTGGGGTTGACTGTGCTGAGTGTCCTGGTAGCCACGAGCAGAGCTGCAGGGATTGCAGTCTACCTGTCAGGACCTGGGGGCTGCCCATAGGGCCAACAACTGTGGGATTCCTCCAGAAGAAGCTGGGGTGACACAGGCAATATCATCCCCATCTTCCACACATGACAATATTCCCTGGAATAGGTGTGTAGGGATTAGCCACCTCCCAATTTTGGATGTCTTAGATGCCCAGGGACCAGGGGATGCCAATGCCAGTTCATTTCTGCCTCGGAAGGCTGCATCGCCACTGGGCCTGGTGCGATGAGATGGTGCTACCAGCAACCTGGCAAGTCGCGCTTGGGCTCTTGCTACACTGCGTGGCTTTGACACACGGTGGCTTTGAGTGAATGGAAACGGAGCGATACGGGTGTGCTCATAGCCAGGAACAGATGTGTGACAACCAGATGCTATCGATCCAGACGGGATGCGGTTCACAGAGGAATGAACAGCCCGGAGGCAGGCAGGGTGAAATGTGGGTTATTTATCACCCTCGATCAGAAAGACAAGAGACTCACCATTTCTGCGTGCATGCTCTGCCCCTTCGGCCCATTCTCCACCTATACGGATTCAGAGAAAAGACAGAAAATAAGCTCCTGGTGATAGAAGCATCATGTGCGGAAGGGGCTGCTGGACAGCCACATGTGGGAGTCCAGGCTGTTTTTTAGGAGTCATCACAGGCCACATTTACCTGTCCAGGTATGTTTGTGCACCCACCCGTGCGCAGTAGCCCATGTAGTTTTATGTGTGCACGCATATACGTGACAACATAGGTGGATATACATGTGTGTACGTATGCACAGTGGCGTGGGCAAGCATGACCCCTTGTAGAGCATCCCCCATGGAGATGCTCACCTGGGCTGCAGTAGATATAGTAGTCCTCGCAGCAGCTGCGGTACCTCTCGCACTCGGCGTTGCAGTGGCACTCATCCTCCCCGTTGTAGGGCTCCTCGCAGCGCCCCTGGCAGGAGTCAGGGGCTGTGTACAGATCTTGGGGACAGAAAAACAGCGCTGTGGTCTGCAGCATGGAGCAACAGCCCTGCCTTGTCGAGCTGGGGACCTGGGAGCTTCTCTTCCTCAAGCAGTCACTGCCCAATCTGCCCCAGCAGGTCTGGGTCCTGCCTCAGAGCATGAAGCAGGGAACAGTTGTGACCAAGGTCCTACAAGAGGTGTCTGCGACTGAGACAACACGCTCCAGGTCAGCCAGGACCCAAGACCTTGGAGCAGGGTGTACAGGAGCTCAGGTGGGATGAACTTTCTGGGGTTTCCAACTGCCTCCTGTGCCCAACCAGCATCAACACCACCATCCCCATGTGAGTTGGGGTATCACAGCTAGCGGAAGCTCTCACTGCAGGTCTGGTGGTCAGCAGAGACCCACAGATGAGTGGGGATGCTCAGGGATCATCTCCTGCTCTGGAGTTCAACCTCACCCCACTCAGTCCTGTTCTCATCCCACTCAGTCCTGCCTGTGCTTGGGTGGTGACCAGGCATCACTGACTCTTTGATCCCTTCCCGGGGGAGACACAAGGACCAAGCTCCTACCTTGGGTCTATCTGGGATACCTTGGCTCTGGCTGAACTTTGTCAGCATTTGGGGGTGGCATTTTGGTGGGCAGCAGGTGAATCCTCACAGCGCTCCTTGGACCACACATCCATGTGGGTCTCATCTTCAGCCACAAATATCCACTATGTGACAGACCTTCACAGGCCACTTTACACAAGGAAACACATTCTTTACTCACCACCCTTTAAATGCCAGGCTTGGCATGAACAGGAGTCCCCACAGTCACCCCCAGGGCCCAGCAGTCACAGGGTCAGAGGAGAACTGCCACATTCCAAACACCCTTATTTGCAAACCAACTGTCAGTCTTTCTGCAATCCTGGGAGAACTGGGACCTCTTTCATGAGTTATTTCTATGATAAATGTGTCATCCAGTGTGTGATTTATTGCACATGGGGCAAAGTTAAAAAAAATGCAGCCACTCAAGCTGTGCTTTGAATAATGCAAGTACCAAGTCTCAGAAGGATGATGGACACCTACTGTCAGGCAAAGAGGGACTGCAGTGGATCAAGAGACAGCCAGAAGTGTGCGCTTAGGAAAGTGCCTTTGCTTCCCTGCTACCCATCAATTAATTTAGGTTCCAAAGCAATTTCTGATGCAAGGAACGAGACATGAGGTAACCTGGGAATGGCCTTTCTGGTATCCTTTTGCTCCAACCAGGAAGCTAATCGTTTCTGAGGACGTGCTGGGAAGCTGTGTCTCAAATAAGCTACCTGTAAAGCAGTCGCTGGAGGAGAAGGTGTTGCGTTTTCTAGCAAACCTGCAATCAAGCAACATCTTAAAAGCCATCTGGGGAGCAACAATTCCCAGGTGTCTTCCTTTAACTCCAGCAGCCAAAACATGCCCAGAGGGCAAATCCTGATACAGCAGCTGAGAAGAGCAGGGGTCAGATCTTCAAGTGTCATACTTCAGTGGTTTCTCTCTATACCTGTGCTGCTAGTTCTGCACCTTCTTCTTTACCTGAATTATTGTGGGTTTTAGAGTTGCAGAATCCTTGGGGTAGAACCTCTAGGATCTACCCTGGCCTTGTCAGAGGCCGTGGAGCAGAACAATGAGACCTGGAGCTTTGATGGGGTTGACATCTAGAATCCCTATCCCTACAATTGTAGATTGTATCCCATTTGCTTCCAAAACAGACATCACAGCTCATTCTGAATCATGTATCCAGGCTTGTTTTCCAGCAGCAGTCCCATAGGGATTATGCAAGGCAGGAACTGCTAACACACAAGTCACTGCTGAGAGGTTCCTGGTCCTGGGGCACATGTTACCAGAGCAAGTCCCAACGAAGCAACCTTATGGGGTTGGGAATGACTCAGTCTGCACTGGGAGTCTTGCAGAATCACTGGAGGAGCAAGCTCAGCACCGACCCATTTCCTGCCTGGTCTCTAGGGCAATAAGAGAGCAGCAAGGTGACAAGTCTTCTCCCTGCATGGGGACAATAAGCAGGGCATGGGGGACAAATGGTGGGCTCTTGCTCCACTGTTGCACAGTCAGCCTTTTGGACATGAACCTACTCATGGCAAGACAGCTGAAGAGCAGTTATCTGCTTCTCTCTGTCACCCTCCATGGTTAAATTAGAGGAGATGCTGGAGCTTTTGGAAGGGTAGAGCTGATGGAAGAGCTGGCAGTGATGAGGATGGTGGCCAGAGCAGAAGGACGCGACCAACACGGACAGCAACTGTGTGCACCTGAACTTATTTGTATGCAAAGCTGCTGCCCTGGAGCCAGGGGTGAATTTGGATGGTGGCAGCTAAGATCATCCTCCTACCCTGTCCTCTGACCGATCACTTGTTCCCTGACCAGAGCCAGGCATTCTACCCTCCAAGGCCTTTTCCCAGCAGAAATGAGACCCTTCTTCAGCCAAATCCATCCCTCCTTGAAAAGAGCTTTTGGACAAGAACAAACTCATTTTCATTTCTGCCAGACATTTTGAATGTGGAAATGTGGACCATATCCTGAATGGTTCCAGTCGCTGAGGTGTGAGGCAGTTTCGGAGATGTGACAAAGCCTTCCCAGAAGCTGTCAGACTTGCTTTATACATGGAAATGAGCTATGGTTTGTGTTAGAATAGCATCCACAAGTCCCAGCCTGACACGAGACACCACTGTGTTGTGCACTGCACAGACACAAACCAAAGAAATCAGCTTTACCTCTAAGAGGACTCACCTGAAGGACAAATTAACTTTCAACAAAAGAGCCATTCACAGAATCCCAGAATGGTTGAGGTTGGAAGGGACCTCTAGAGATCACCTAGTCCAACCCCTGCTCCAGCAGGGACACCCAGAGCAGGGGCACAGGGTGGCATCCAGGTGGGATTGAAGATCTCCAGAGAAGGAGACTCCACAGCCTCTCTGGGCAGCCTGTGCCAGGGCTCTGGCACCCTCACACCAAAGAAGTTCTTCCTCACATGGACATGGAACTTCCTGTGTTTTAATTCACACCCATTATCCCCTCTCCTGTCACTGGCCACCACTGAGAAGAGCTTGGCCGCATCCTCCCTACACTCTCCCCTCAGGATTTGCTCATGTTGATCAGATCCCCTCTCAGCCTTCTCTGCTCCACACTAAACAGGCCCAGCTCGCTTAGTCTTTCCTCCTAAGATAGATGTTCGAGTTGCTTAATCATCTTCATTGCTCTACAGTGGACCCTCTCCAGAAGCTCCACATCCCTCTTGTCCTGGGGAGCCCAGAACTGTTCCCAATGCTCCAGATGCGGCCCCACCAAAGCTGAATAGAGGGGCAGGATCTCCTCCCTTGACCTACTGACAACACTGCTCCTGATGCAGGTTGATGGTCCCAACTTTCTAATTACACATTCCTGTCTTTGTCAGATCTCTCTGAAATCATATACAACCCTGACTCCAAGTTGTCTGTGAGATGACTGGGCAAAATCTCCCACCATGCAGCCTAGGATAAGGGAAGTTGCAACCACCCTGTCCACAGCAGAGCCCGTTGTAGTCAGAGGATGCCCTCCACCATGAAAATATCCCTCACCTTTTCTCTGCTAAGCTCTGCTGGATCCAGCCTCACCAGGGAATAGTCATTCCAGGGGCTCTGAGGTCCCAGTTTGAGGTAGTGCCCTCAGCACTGTCTACTTTCAACCCATCATTATCCCCTTCCCCACCAGATGCACCAGCTGTTTCAACCTCGCTGATGAAGCAAAACTCTGTTACTCACTGCCAGACACGCAGCCCAAGGCTATTCCCGCTCCGACGAGGAGGATCCAGGTCTTCATCGTTCCAGATATGGCAAGCTCGATTTTCAAAGTGTCCTGAAGGGAGGGCTGGGAATGCCAACACTCCCCAGCGCTCCCTGCTATATGTGGATCCACTCCAGGTGAGGAGGAAGAGGAGGGGAGTCCAACTGTGGCGTCACCAGCTGTATGTGGGTCCCCTCCAAGCGAAGAGGAAGAGGAGGGGAGCCTGAACTGTGGTGTCATCAAGTAATTCACAGACAGGCTGCACCCAAACCTTGCCAAAACTCATCATGTGCCTGTCTTAATTACAGAGTGGGAGGAGGGCTGGTAATTCCAGCTCCTGGTATTGCTCCACCGCACACACCTCCCCAGGACAGAGCCTTGCCAGTGGCTGTGGAGCAAAGGGAAAGCTTTTCCATGGGCTCCGTGCCTACCCAGAGCCCAGCACGTCCACGACGGATGAGGTTAGTGCCAGGCCTTGGCCCCCAGCATGTGCCCCTTTCTGTCTCCTGGAGGGTAGACGATAACCAACCCTTCCTCTCCAACTGCTGTCTGTTGAGATGGTGCTTTCCTTGGGATACTGACTGGCTTCTTGGTCCCCCACATGTGCCCCCTTCGTCTCCTGGTGGGTAGAAGATAACCAACCCTTCCTCTCCAGCTGCTGTCTGTTGAGACGGTGCTTTCCTTGGGATACTGACTGGCTTTGGCTGAGGCTTCCAAGGATTCCTGCAGCACAAGGAAACCCTGAGGAACGGTGCTGCTCCATGAGCAGGAAAACTTTGTGGCCTCTTCAAGTGATGCCCTGGCTCCTGAGACAACCTTGCAGACTGTTCTTCTCCACCCTGCCTTTCTCCAGTCCTAAGGAAACCTCTCAGGCTGTTCTTCTCCACCCTGCCTTTCTCCATGGCCCCGGATAACATTAAGAAGGTGGACAGCTTGTGTCTGCCTTGGTCACCAGCATCTTCCCAGAAGTGGATAACACTAAGAAGGTGGACAGCCTTGGTCACCAGCATCTTCCCAGAAGCAGAGCAAAACCAAGCTCCATTCAGTGGTACCACCTTCCTTTCAGAGTTTAATTTAAAAACTACCATTTTCCCTGTTTGTTGTTGGGAAAGGATCCCACCAAAGCAAGCGGACAAACTTTGGAGCTGGGCAAACAACTGGGGTGGGCAGGAGCTTCGGCCAGTTTTGCCACTGGAGGGTAGTGACAGGGAAGTCCCCAAGACCCCAGCCAGGCTGCAATCCACTCACCAGGCAGGGAGAACAGCATTCCTGTCTGCAAGAATCGCCCTTCCTCATCTTTCCAGTTGAATAATAAATGCACCAACAGTGTGTGCTAGTGTCAGATCACTCCCTGTCCATCTGTGCCCCAAGAATAGGCTTCTGCTCTGCACAGGATAACCAGCCTTCAGCCACCACCCAAAGAAAGTGGAGGCAATTTATAACTTTCACTAGCAGAGCAAATAACAACCACCTGTGATCTATCCTGCCAACACAGCAGTATTGCAACAGCCTTAATACCACGGGATGAGTTAGCTGGCACAGACTAAGTTTTTGACATAGGGAGAACGAGGTTTGGCTTCCTTCTCACTCCTCTGTCATTTCCTACTCTCCACCCTGAGTCGGTGAACCCGCTGACCTGTCATCCCCAAGAGACATCTTGTTTGCTCCTTCACCTTGGTGTCACCTGGTGCTCATCATTGAGCTCATCGCCTGATGAACCCCATGTGTGAATGATCCAGGATGGTCTCCCACTGTCAGGGATCTCCTTTTGGCTATTTTCAGCTTGGGACTCATTTACCACCAGCCTGAGACATGTACACACTGTGTTTGCTCTGCTCAGTTTAACTGAGACTGTTCAGGACTTACAGAACATCTGAGAAGGAGATTTGGGGAAACAGGAAAAAGAAAGCAGCCATTTAGGGCTGCAAGAATCCATGTAAAAGCAGTATCAATCCCCATACTGCATGTAAGGCAGCTTCTCCCCAAATCCACACACTCTGTTGGCAGTGAGGAGCTCACATCAGTGGAGATGGACAGTACTTGCTCCCCAGGACAATGTTGAAACCCTCGTGTCTGTTAAAGGTCTCAACACATCCCTGAGATGCTTGGAGAGAGGAAGGTGAAGGAGCGGGTCCTGCAGCTCCTGGGCTGCCCGTTGTGGTTGAGCACACACATGGGAGTCCATCACCAGGCATCTCCCTTTGGCCTGCGGCTGAAGGAGAGCACATGCTGCAGCAAGGAGAACGTTCAGCCTTGCACTTCCCCTTCTCCCTGGGTAATCAGTCTGATTATCCCCACAACACACTCAACCCTATAGGAGCCCCATTAGATGTTTGACCTGTTCTTGAGGCATGGTGGACCTTTCCCAAGTTGGGTCTTGCTCCATGCCCGCTGGCCCTACATACAAGAGATTCAGTCATTGCTTTGGACACCCTGCAGAAACCCAAAGGGGCATCGTTCAGTCACCCCACAAGGACTCCGGGGTAGAAGATTTGCCTGAGGGCCTCTAGGAATGGCACCTCCCTGGAAGTGTAGATGTGGGACCTATTGCTCCTATTGTAGAAAGTTGCTTCCTTGGCACCACAGCCAAGGAGGATTCTGCTCATCTCAGGCTTAACCTGGAGCATCAGCTCTGCTAGCGAGGAGGTAAAAACCACCTATTTGTTCTCGTTTCTCAGCTGCACCCTCCCAAAGTTGGCTCCTCGTGGAGGTGTGAGCATTCCCCACTTGCTCATGGGTTCCTTGCACACTCCCATGGTACGGCACGTCTCTTTCTCCACCAACTAGCTGTGCCATGAACCGCTGCCAACCCCAGGTTCCTGGGAACATCCTGCTTTTTCACGCTTGCTCTCACGGTCTGGGGACAAGCAGACTTTGCTGCGCCATGGTCTGGTGTCAGTCACTGAGGACAGGAAAAGGACAATGTCACTGGTTGCTGGCTGTTACCAAACCCTGTTATCCTAACTCTTTCAGGGTGCTCGCCCATGAGGGGTGTTGCAGAATGGTGGTGAGTCAGGGGCTGGGTCTGTGTCACTCTTCCTGTCATGCTGAGGCTCAGAAAGAAGAAGATAATTGCCCAAACACACACCACGTCAACAGCAAAGAACCCCAGCTCCCAGGATGGGGCACATGGTGGATGTAGGATCAAAACCCAAAGTCCAAGCAGGCAAGATCCTCTCCTAGCAGGCTCCATCTGCACGTGTGCTCCTGATTCCAATAACAACATCATTAGCCCTCACACCTTGCACTACAGCCCTGTCCAGACCTGACTCTTCCCATGATTCTGATCTGAAGTGATTTTGATCTGAAACCAGATGCAGCCTCTTGTTTTCTCCTAGTCCCATGTTCTCTATGGGCAGGGCTGCCTGAAACTGAGCTTCAGCCTTGCCTCTTCCTGGCATCCTCCTGTCTGGATCCTGCTGGATTTGCTGCCCTTCACCATAATATTTCTCCAGAGCTTCTCACACCTTTAGGACCTCCTAGGGCTCCTGGAGCTCCGTGGGAATTGCTGGCAGGGCCTGTACCTACAAGCTTGTGCTCCTGGGAAGAATGCAGATTTCGGACTACGGAGGGTGGGCAAGAGAGGGTGGGATACTGGCAGTGAGAGACACTCAGGGCTCATAAGGGGTTAAACAGAGTGGGTTTAATTCAGAATTTATATTGCAAATTTAACGGGGAGCCCCAGGATCAGTGCAGAGGGGTCTCCCATGGGAGGCTACACGTTGGACACGTCTTGTTGTTCCTAAGGACCCATTAAACCTGCCAGAACCGTTTCCTTATCTCAGCTGTGCTAACCTTGGGTAGCTTCTGCCTGGGAAGCAGCTAGAGGTTGTTGACAGAGCAGAATATTACTGCTGGGAGGTGGTAGGTGGGCAGTTTCACACATTGGGGATGCCAGCTCTGCCAGCCGCTGACTCCTGGCCAGACCTTCTGCAGGTGTTTGCGCTGCAGGAGGACACGGGCACGATCCCGTGCATGGGCTGCATGTGCAGTGCTGCCCATACGGCACCTCTGCAGGGAGCTCTTTACAGCCTGGATAGGGAAAAATAGCCAAGACTCAGCTTTTCCACTTGAGCAGGGATTTCTCCAGCCAAGACGGATGACTGGGCCAGAATCCTGTCTGCAGCCGAGGAAGAGAAAAGCCCCTGGACGTGTCCATCTATGCAGGCAGCCAGCGAGCCCAGCGCCAGCAAACCTATGGACTGAGGGTAATCTGCAGGCCTACAAACATATGGAAAAAGAAAATGCAACTCCGATTTAACCCTTCCTTCCCCACCAATGAGCTCCTTCCTTTCGGGGCTGTTTTGAGGGAAAAAACTCCCTAGAATGTGACAGGGAGTTTTGGGCTGCCCCATTAGGGCCTGGATCCCAAGGGATCTGGCACTGCCTCTCTCTTTTGCCCTGGAGAAGGACACACCGTTATCTCCTGAGAGTTTGCTTTGCTCGCCTATCCCTGCGGGTGCTCTGCAATGTCCTGCGAGGCTCATGGGGCTCAGCTGATGTGATGGGAAGCGGTGGCAGCTTCTTCTGTACACGTGGAGCGGGGACATGGCAAGCGCCGACACCAGGGCCAAGACCCAGCGGAGTTTTCAGATGAGCTGGTTGGGTTGCGGGGCTCCCAAATGGGGCTGGTGGATGAGCACCTTGCCCCTTACCTTGTCACCATCATGCGACTAGGTCGTTTAAAGCACGCTCAGAACCTTAGCTGCAGTCCTGCACATTGACACCATCCCCACCGCTCAGTTGGGTCTGCCAGGGTTTGGCATCATGTCTTTGCCCAATAGCTGACTAGGAAGCATTGGCTGAGACCAGGGGTTCCTACTGTGCAGTGGTTGCGTCCAGGTGTATCATGTTTTGGGGGTTTGAGCAAGGCTACCTGATGTCTCAAGTGAGGCACCGATCTGTGGCCAGAAGATGCCCTACCATAGGCTGAGAGCATCTGCCAGGCTCCAGGGAGATGTTTAGGGGCAGCAATCTTCCCTGAAACCGAAATTTGAGGACCTCTCTGAGCAACTAAATCTGCTCTGTGCGCATCCAGAGATCTTCTGGAGCAAGGGATGGGAGTCCTCATCCCTTGGGTCTTTTGGATCTGCCACTGGGAGCTAAGAGCCCTTTGAACGTATATTCCTGATCTTCTGCTTGTGCTTTTGGGAAGGGTCGGGCCCAGCTTGGGCCCAAGCAGTGCAAAGGAGGTTGCCCTGCTGCTCTCCTTCCTGCTAACACCAGGTCATGGTGCCCACAGAGACAACCAGGCCACACTCCATCCTGGATGCGGAGAGCGCCCGGAAGGGATAATGGTCCGTCCTGGCCATCCCTGGCTGCAAACCAGGACAATCACCAGGTCACAGGCTCCATCCCAAAGAGCCATCGCAGCACTTTTCCACTACGGATACTGTCCTGGCTCCATGCCCTGTGCCCCCGCTGTGGGTGGTGGTCTTGCCCCCATCCATGGGGAGAAACTGAAGCATGGGCAACGGTGACATTAGCTCGTGGGGGCTGCCCTGTCCCCAGGTGCAGGGACTTTGCCCACTGTCACCACACCAGGCTGTCCAGCCACTGATCCCCTGGGTGGTCACAGCTCCCAAAGGACAAGTGCGACCTCATCCTGCATGTCCCGATGGAGCCAGATCTGCCCACCGGGAAGCCCTGGCTCAGTCCCCACCACGAGACAGGGCATCTCCCAGCCTTGGCACCCCCAGGGCAGGAAGCTCCTGTTCCATGGAGCGAACCAGGGCTGCTGCACGGAGCAGAAAGGCGAGCGCAGCCTTGCATACAAAAATACCTCTATTGCTCACTGTGCGCGGGCCCGTGGCCCCACTGTCCGCGGCCTTGGCCCGCTTGCAGCCCCCGCGGGCTCCAGTGCTGGACCGGGCGCACGGGTGCCCTCGGGCAGCTCCGCC